AATATTTAGAGTAGACTCTAGTGGTGAGCCTCGCTTCCGGTGAAAGTATTGCAGCTCAGTCTTAGGAAGTTCGAAACTAATTCCGTTAGTCAGACCCCATGCTATAGTGCTATCTAGTTTCTCCTGTAGTTTACGTGCACATTCGTCTAAGGAGGACGCAGACGCGAAAAGGGCAATGTCATCTGCATAGCCAAAGCGGTCAGTTGAAAGACGTAGTGCCTCTTCCATAGCCAGAAGAAATAGAATTGGCGATACTGGTAAGCCCTGTGGGAGACCACAGTGAGTTTGGAAGGGGGGGTAAGTATCTTCAATAGTGTTGGAAATATCGCGCAATAAAATGGGCGCAATATTCATGGAACGAAAGTAGAAGTTGACTTAAAGAGTGTCATGTTCGGATTACAGCTAAAACTGTGGAAAGTGTGCGCTACAAGTACAAGTGTAAGCGACACAGAGCCTAAGCCACAGCATAAACGAGTGTGGCGCCATCTAGGCATAGAAAACCCTCAATAACCTCCTTGCGCCCACGCCGTACAGCCGCTCATATGTCCAATAGGTAGCCTGAAGCGCTACCATATTACCTACTCCAACCTCTTACATATACACAAGATCGTGTCGGGAACCTAGACGAAATGGAGGGCCCATACGTCCAAAACACTCCGTGTCTCCATTTCCAACAAATAGAGATGATGGATTCTCGCTGCTCAATGGATGATGCTACCCAGCGAACCACGTTTGATGGCCATCCTTGGTTTCGAAGTCTGTAGCAGAGCCGTTTTCACGGAATAATAACAGGGGTTAGAATGATGGTTTACCATTAGCATACAAATTTGGCAGGCCTGAGTAGGGAAAGGTAACGTAACAGTGAACTATGAGCATGTACATAATCAAGCGTAGCCTCAAGTCAAGTTGCCTTCTTCACGCAACGTCTTCTCAATATTATTCTCATTCTAGATATTCCATCTCTTCCTTGTGAAGACCACTTCGAGCCTGTACTCGTATCAGATCACGACGTGCTCCCTATCTCTTCTTGTGGAAGACCTTGACCCCATATTTACTCATACTTGTACCCAGTGAACAAATAGCATACACACTCCTCGAGAGCCGTCCTTTTTGGATACCATCAAACGACTCTTGGACATCGACAGTCACTCTACCAGCTACTTTCTTTTCTATCCATTTTTCCTGGATATCGCAAGCAAAAGCTGTGGTAAGGTCAGCAGCGGAGCGAAGAGGGATGGCACTGCATTGGTCTTTGGCGAGTACGCGATATTTTAGCGCTATGAATGAAAGTCGCCGAGCTATTAGTCGCTCAAAGCCTTAATCCAGGCATGAAAGGAGGGAGATTGGTCTATAGGACTTCGGGAGGGTGAGATCTCGGTTTCCTGAATTCGGAAGAATAATCACTGTAGACTTCTTGAAGGCTACTGGGCGTGTTCCTAGCTTCTCGCACTAGTGGAAGAGAGCATACACCCTCTTACCAATTATTGGCTATGCTTGACGGAGAGAATTCGGGATTATTTCGTCAGATCCTGGGGTGGTAGACGAGACCTGACAGCGTGCACGAAATATTTCTTCCTCGGTGATTGGGGGCCATGGGAGATCTGTCCTTGCAACACTTGGTGTACTGATAGGGATGTCGTCTTGGAGCGAAAATCTATTCAGCAGGGTCTGTCGAAAGGTCTGAGCCTTTGCTTCAGGAGTGGCTATAGGTCCATGCGGTCCGATGAGAGGGGGCATAGGGAGGGCTGTTTGTTTCTTGTGCCACCTGGTAATTTTATATATTTCTGTGAGACTCGCTACTTGGTCAATCTTGTTACGCCAGTAGTCTCGCTTGGCTTTCTTGAAAATTTTGGCAAATTCGCGGCGTTCTTTAACAGCATCTAAGCCTTTTCGACGTGTTCGACAAAAATTGCGGTGAGCTTCTGCACAAGCCTCATTCCACCAACGGCATCCGCTACCATGTTTTCTGGACCTTGGGCAGGCCGGTCGAAGCGCTCCTGAAATGGCTTCTGCAAGAAAGGTGGCTTCATCTTTGACATCCGATATTAGGGGAGTTCTAAGCTGATCCCTCAAAATGTTGTTGAATGCAGACCAGTCTGCGGCAGCGTATTGGAGTCGGCCAGGGTTAGAGACCTCGGGCCCTCTATCTGTAATTCGGAAAAATAGTGTCCTATGATCTGAGCCAACGTCAAGATGATGTCGAACCTTGAAAGAAGCTTTGGGACACTCTTTCACGAAGCATAGGTCGAGAACAGAGCCTCTATCGTGAGTAGGCTCCCCGTAATTGCTTAATAGTAGGAGCCCCTTTTCGGCTGCCTACTCCAGGAGAGATTCACCACATTCATCGTTTCGCGCTGCGGGGTCCCAAAGCGAGTGAGGGATTTTAAAGTCTCCTGCTAAGGTGTCTAGATTCTGGGTAAGGGACAATAGATTATTAAGTGCTGCTCCTGCCTCCACAGAAGCGATTGGAGCATTGTAGAGGTTGAATATTTTTTCTGCACGTTTGTTCTTGCGTCGAATACAGACTTGAAGCAAATTTCGGGAGATTGTAGCCGGCTGGAAAGGAGATAGACCAACACTTTTGTGGGTATAGGTCATGACTCGGGGTCTGGCCCAGATAGTTATGATAATTGTGAATCATTGACTGCTTCTGCCAATCTTCCACATGAGAAGCTCTCCGTCTCGAGTTCTCTATTCCAAAGACATTCAAAGCCTGCACGAGCCAGCACCTTTCCCATATTCTCTGAGGCTTTGATTTTGTCAGACAGATAACCCTAAATTTCAATATTGTATCATGATGTCTAAGTTGAGTAGTTTACAAGCAAGTAAACTGGGCTGATGCATCAAGGGCAATAACTTAGTCATGCAAATGTTACAACTAGCGACTAGACGGATGGCCAATTTCATACGCACAACTCCCTTTTTGTTTCACTTTCTCTGTTGACCATGATAATGTAACAGCTAATTTCAGAACAATATATGGAACGGAGATTTGAGCAGTTTGAATGGGAAATCTAATAGTCAGTCTATACTTGGAATTAGTAGGATCCTCAAGATGTATATAGTACCTAGATAGATTCCTCATGGTAGAGGATAATCAATTCAATCAACTCTGAGAGAGATTCTTATTAGTATAACTTTGCTTAACAGATTTTGTCGTGAGAAATTCACATTTAGCGGCCCAAGACTGGTGTCCGCGGATAAGTTCCCGTTGACATGGGCGTTGGAAGAAATGATCGCGGCCCGTGTTTCGGCTTCGGCACGAAATGTGGAGGTTAGAGAATATTAGGTGCATCGAGAGAGATTATGACTTGGTGTAAAACTAAGAGATGTATCATGATTAATAGGGCCATCATGATAGGACTACGCGCCGCCCACCCGAAAGTGAGGACAAGCTCAACAGCGGCCATTCATCGACAAGGAGGAGTCCTCTCAAAGGTCTCACGCAATAGCCGACTGCGAGTGGCAGGCAAACTACAACCACTTGATAGGCGCCATTCCCTTCGGACTCGTGCTGCTGTGTGCGTTAAGGGGGAGACCCAAAAAAGATGTGGGGGAATTAATCCGCGCAGACGGACCAGCAGAGAGGAAATCAGTGCGCTCCCCGCTGGGCCTCGGTGGTAGGCGAGAGACCAGGACGTGTGGGTCGGAGTCCAGCAAAGGTCATCTTCACTTCATTTCCGAGGATTTTCCGATTTTTCTCCTTCTCACTTTATCGTTCCCTCCTTGACGACTCCGGTAGCCGTTTAAGCGATCGATACGAGTTTAGCCTTGTCCAACGTGATCCTGGCCCGCTCCACCGCTCCTCTATGCTCAGTGACCTTGGAGTTTTAGCTTAGGCCCTTACAAATACAAACCAAACCGCTCTTACATGCACACCCACCGGCGGGAAAGCGCGAGACGTCAGGGCCATGCAAACACGCTCTCGTCGCCCTTCGAGTGCAGTATCGTCGCGCGAGACTGTGGTGTGTGGGTCACGCAGGACTTGAGCCAACCCTCTCCTCACTCAAGCGGCGCATACGTGCAAGCTACCTAGAGCCTACTGGAGAGCGCGGCGCCGAAGACGTACCACTGCACCATCCAGCATATTAGCGCACTTGTTTATCTGGCTTCCAGGCCTCTCATGGCTCCTGCAATGGAAATCGATTCAGAGGCGTGGAGCGGCGCCGCATCCCGTGTGCAAAATGGATCTGGCTTTGGGCTAGGACGATTGTGGAATAAATCGACGCCAGTGTAGGCGTCGGTGTAGAAGATGCTTCAAACAAGCTTGTGGCTAAATCGTGCAGTGGCAGACTGTCGAGGCTGGCCTACCTCGGAGAAGCTGATCATATCCATCACTTCTGCAGTCTGAAATAGATGATGGATAATTCGAATCCAGCAAGACTCGTTCATAGTCACTACCTACCTCGCAAAGAGTCCAACAAAAGAACACATGCATGACCACAGGTTTTGAACCTTCACTTCGTCGGTATTCACAGAGGAGAGTTGACAGTCTTATGTAAGCAAAGGTTCTCTATTATGTTTGTGAATGACATTTAGAGTATGAATATCAAAGCCAAGAGTCATTCAACTATCATACCAGAAACGGAGTATATTCCCCAGCTACAGAGCTGCATTTAATTAACAAAGCCTATTAAAATATGCCCGCAAAAATCTTATGGTGCATGGGTTCACGTATGTTGAAATTTGGAATCAGCACTTTGGATGCTGGTTTTTTATTAGCTATGTGTAAGTACTTCTTCCGTGCATAAAACTGTGTTCATGAAGTTTTAGCCCTCCCATCTTGAACCCTTGTAGCTACTGGTCAACTCAAGTTCGACCTCAATCATAGCGGTGTTACGCGCACGGGCAATAATCTTCTTGGAATGCCCACGAACCTCAATACTTGCGTCATGGTTGTGACTATTCTATGAATCATTGACTGCCAGCATTATACCAGCTTGTTAACTACCACAATTTTGATCGACTGCCCTCTCTGCACTAAAGTCGTCCTCCTTGCCTTAAACCGATAATTCAATCTGCTTTGACCCTTCAATATTTGACTGATACTTTTGCAAAATGGCCTGCACTTCGCCGCCCGTACCACAGTATCTTGTGACCTGTTCGGGGCAGCGGCCAATGAAATTCTTGGGATCGAGCATGCCATCAATATCTGACCAGATCGGCGAAAAATACGCGCTATTCTTGATGCGGTCGATGAGATCATTGCGACCGCCCTCCTTCTTTACAACGTCACTTGCCTCGTGGCTCAAGACGCGAATCTCTTCGTGGGCCTCTTGCCGCGATGCACCACCAGCAACCATTTTCATGATAATATTTTCCGTCGCCATGAATGGAAGCTCTTCCATTAGGCGGGCGGCGATGCGCCGCGGATAGACAACAAGGCCCGAAACGACATTATCGAGTGTCATAAGTATAGCATCGGCCGAGAGGAAGAGGTGCGGAAGATCAATACGGCGAATGGCTGAGTCATCGAGGGTTCGTTCAAACCATTGGGCCGAATAGGTGTCGGAACAGTCTTTGTTGAGGTTAGCGAGGTGGCGACCAAGGCCACAGATGCGCTCGCAACGCATAGGATTGCGCTTGTAGGCCATGGCTGAACTTCCAATCTGGTCCTTTTCAAACGGCTCCTCGATTTCTTTTTGAGCCGCCAAGTGTCGGATATCTGAGGCAATCTTCTGCACTGTCGCTCCCAGAGCCGAGAGAGCATTGGCAACACGAAGATCAACCTTGCGGGAGTATGTCTGGGTAGAGATAGAATAACAACGAGGAAACCCGGCCTTCTCACATAAGATAGTATTTAATTGATCGACTTTGGCGCCGTCCTGGAAGATTTCCAAAAACGAAGCTTGAGTTCCAGTAGTACCTTGTGCACCCCGGAAGCGTAAATCAGCCCTTACCTTTTCAATATCCTCGAGGTCCATCACCAAATCTTGCACCCACTGCGCCGCGCGACGACCCACTGTAATCAATTGCGCCGGCTGGTAGTGGGTGTATCCAAGAGTAGGCATATCTTTGTACTCGATGGCAAACTGGCAAAGTTTGTGAATGACTACGGCTAGCTTGGGCCGGAGAAGATCGAGGCCATCACGGAGAAAAATGAGGTCGGCGTTATCCTTATTCCTTGGTCAGCAACAAGCTCATGTGCTGGGCGGAAAATGACCTACCGTAACGTAGCAGGACGTCGCTCCCCAGTGAATGATTCCTGCTGCCTTGGGTGCCATCAGCCCAAAAGCATGGACGTGTGCCATGACATCGTGACGCCGCTTTTTCTCTTCTACCGCTGCCACCTCTAAATCGTGTTCCGTCACTTCGGCATGAGCTTTCATTTGCTCGATGGCTCCGTCGGGTATAGGGAGGCCCAGTCTAGTGAGTTCCCTAAGTTAGCAAGAATGCCATCCAGTCACCCACCATCGACAGCCACGTAATATTTTTTCCAAAGACTCACTCCTTCTCCCCCTCCGCTAGCCAGATCCAGAGCTTTCGCCAGGTTGACGCGCGTGTTCGAGCACTGAAAAGGGAGCGCATTTCTAACCATTCATCATGATTAGTGATTCATCACATCCCTTTATCCCGACATAATGAAGGTCGCACCAAGACCCAGTACTGACCGGTAGAGGCATATCGGCTAGCCAAGGGCGTCTGGTAGTTATCGATAGAGGACATCACGCTCTTTATCCTCAGGTTGCACTAAAGTTGGCGTGGTCCTGAAGAACGACGGAAGTGTAGTGTCGCAGCGTCGTAATGTCAAGTTAATTGAGGGGTGAAGTGATTTTTTAAGGCTTGGATAAACGCACGACCATGCGCGATTAAAATACTCTCGATAACTTTGTGTGGCACGTGACCTCGTAGTTCATTGTCGCAGTCCTAATCCTAGGGACGAACTTGCTGAACTGGGCAGTGTTTACAGTCTGATGATTCAAGGCGGAGGAAAGGAGCCTCGTTGAGCAAATTTTCATGCAGTGGATGGGCAGAGAGTCATCTGCTGGTTGTGTTTGCCGTTCGGAAAATTGTTATGGGATGTGGGATAAAGATGAGAGAGCGAGAACTTTCATGAAACAGACGAGGTGGTGCTTTGGGCTTGGTCAGATGGGGATGGAACACGAAGAGCAGTGTAGGCGGAAGTATAGTGGTAACTCTAGGGAGATGATGGGCGGCACTGTGACAAACGTATATTCGATTTAAATGGAATTTTCTTAAATTAGGTTGCCATAGTGCATGAGAAGTATCCTAATTTTCCAAACCATCCGACGCTACGCCAGTGATGCCAGGCCTCATAGGCGTCAGACACTTGGATTAAAATACATATAAGCTATGCCCGCTGTGCAGTTTCCACTTGCGCCTTGCAAGGGGGAATATTAAAAAGGGAAAAGAAAAACGTAGCGTCATTGTCGGGGACCTCCATGCATTAATACCAGAAATGCTTGGGCGTGGCACGAAGTATCGAAAAGAGACGAGAATAGCACGCGAGTAAACGTACAAACGGTGACGGGCCCAATGGTGGGTTTTGGGTGGATAGTGGGATCCGGGCGGAGTAAAAGAATGTCAAGATGCGGTAGGGTTGTGGCTCTTTGGGAACCAATCGGAAGTTGAGGAAGTTGCGGGCTAAGCCATGTTGGAGGACTCTCTGAGTTTCTCGGAACGACCTCGCATGTACGTCGATAGATCGCCGACTGGGACTTGTAGAGGAAAATCAATAGCTTGAAGCATGACGGCGAGAAATGTGTACCAGCCCGTCAAACTGGTGACAAAGAGAAAGGCACCAGCAGCCACCTGTAAACGATGGGCCACTTCGACCTTTGCAATTTCACCGGCGAGAGCGCTAGCCAGTTCCCAGTAAACGCCGGCGAGAAGCGAAAAGGCCATGGTGAGGGTGAAGAATATGATGACGAAACAGACGTTAATGCGCAGGGAGCAGATGAGGTATATGAAACATAGCAAGGCCATGAATACCTGGAAGAATCCAAAAGAAGCGGTGAACCCGACGGTGGCGAAGCCTTGCTGGGGCGAAGTAGCGTTAGGCGGTGCGTAAGCTCCGGCAGCATTGTAGAAGGGTTGAAGGGTCGAGGCTAGGGTGAGCCAGAAACCACCAAATGAGGAGAAGACAACAAAGGTGAAGGTACGGCCGACGACAAACTCCAGGAAGCCACCAAGAATCATCAAGAGACCACCAAAGAAATAATAAGAGCCACTGTGGGATGGTGAGCAGCTGTAGATGGACGGAGAGGATGAAGGAACTACTTACATGCCAGCTGCTCCATTTCCGTTAGCACCTCTCCATCCCATGAGGTTACAGGCCAGCGGCGAAAGGCAGATGAGGAAGCCCATTAAAGCGCTAGCGAGACTAGATTAGCCATGAAGGGGAGAGAGAGAGCATAGGAGCCTACACTGGTATGGGATTACCCAAAGTCTTCCGCAGCTTTTGTTGCGTTGTGACATTATCGCGCGTGGGGTAGCAGATGCGCTCCAATAGGTCGGGGGTGAGAGGAATTCCAGCTGCTTGAATCTGCTTGAGAGTATTGCCTACATCAGACGAATCACTAGCATGACTCGATCGATTGGGCGCTGGACTTTTAGAGATAGAGTCGCCGTTCTCTGAGACGCGGGAAGTCATGCTGATGGTATTAGGATAGCTGAGAATGGCAATATAGGATGTAGAGGTGGGGGATGGATGAAGAGACGTTGATGATGTGGGTAAAGACAGATGCACTGATACTGGAGAAACACAGGAATAAGGCGAGCTTAAGAAAGAATTATAGTCAGTTCAGCCCCCCCCCATGCTCTTTTTCCTTGCCCTAGCGAGTAGCGGTTGTGGTTGCAGTGACAGTATCAGACAGTCGATGCTGCTGCTGCACCAGCCCGAGATTTGAGCGGTAGTGGGCGCATCTGCCGAGTTCGACGACACGAGGAAAAGGCCAGAGAGGTCTTGAAGTGGAGTTGACAAACAAGTCTTGCGGAGTGTTTCACTTGTCAATCCGGACTGGCTGTAGTTAGAGGAGCACGAGCCTGGGACTGGGTGCAAAGACCAGAGCCGGTCATAGCTAGAGTAGAGTTGATTCTCGCTCGCTCGCTCGTCAGTCATGCGAGACGAGACGTATGTGGGTGCGAGAGCGAGGGCTTGAACATGAGCTTGAACGTGAAGCTTTAGATGGAGGGTCTGTCGCTGAGGCCGGGCGGCGGCTACGGCCACTTAGATTCCACGTGCCCTCGTGGCATCAACGCCTTTTAGAGCGACAGAATTCAGAAGATTCTCCCCAGCTGGGACCGCGGCAGCTCGGCCCAATCTGGAATAGACAAGCGTGCGCTTGGACCAAATAGGACTGATAGAGCGGACATGATGTTATCGATGCGTAGAGAGCACAGACTGAGAATCCATTTGATGCAGACATTTCTCCCATGATCCCTATGATCTGGGCGCGCGCGCAGGTAGGGGAGGAGGCCGCAGCGAGAGAGGTTCTTGAGATTGGATGGACACCGGGGAGGAAGGGATATGCAGGGACATGGGCCCCAAGGAATGGATGAGAAGATGTCAGCACTCGGACGGGAAAGGAGACAGAGACTCGCATGGACGCTGGCACGTCGATGGCTCAAGAAGACGAGCTCAACTCAACACTTTTCCATGTTCCTGTCGCGCGATGCCATTGGGAGAGAGACACCTGCAGCACAGACAGCAGACAAACTTGCATCTTTCTTTCTCTCTTTCTTTCCTTCTTCCTTCTCCCCCCCCGCCCCGGGACCACAGCAACACATCGGCATAATTGATTCTGCTTCTCCGGTGGTCCGTGCCCGTACGTTTGTCGTCGCCGACGAAGTCTACACACAGGGGTCAGAGCTCCCGGTAGATGCCTTGGCCAAGCAATATGCAGAGCAGCGGTCGTTATGCACTCCGGGCCCGAGGCGCCTGACCAGCACTGCCCTTTTATTGCCCTTGAGTATCCATCCAAGGGAAAATGCACACAACGCCCCACGCAATGGCATGTGCCGCCCTATCAAATGACCGACGTTTTTAGACGCGTCGGATAACCTGGCAAATTCGATTGAGCATGATGACAGATGACTAGCTGCGTGTTGCCTCTACGCACTTTGGAACTAGCGTTCGGGGACCGAAGTTGGTCTGAAATGCCTGGCCGGCCACTACAAACCCATTTCGGCCCGGCCAGCTCGACAAGCTCAAATGTCACGTGACATACATGTAACGGGCCGATCAGCTACACACGGCTCAGCTGATCCGTCTACATTACGAGCCGCATCTTATCCCCAAGCAATTACTGTCTTTTCAGCTATGTATAGGTGAGAACTTCTAAGGGTCTTTTCTGCATCTTATTAACAAATGTAAACTTAAGGATATACAGTTGTCTAGCTACAATTAATCTATCATAGAGGGGAACTATTCTCAACGCCTGTCAGTGATGTCCCCTACGAACCTCCAGCTCTTACTGTAGAGTCTGCAGAGCCGAGATTAAGTAAGAAGGTCCTCAATTCCACGAGGATTCCCAATCGCCTTCGCCGTCTGTATCGACTTCATCTCTCAACGCATCCCCCTATCATCATTATCATGGAGGAAAGGCCATCCGATGAGTTTCCGGAGCGTACCCAGCACCCAATACGGAGATGGTGGATTGGATCAAGTTGGCCTCGAATGTTACAAAGAAGGGAGATGTAGATGAATATACGCACCTCATGTAGTCCCAGTGTCTAGGCCTCGCCTGGCTGGGGCTGGAGGGTTTGGAGACTCTATTTACTGCGGGGGAGGAGGTTCCGTGGAGAAGGTGGCTGAATTCAACGGGTAACTAATGAGCTGGATGGCTATTCATCACTGGCAAAATATCAATCATCTTTCAACTAACATAAGAGGCTTGGAGCACTGTACAAGGCGTCGCCGGGGCCAGAAAAGAGACCAATGTGCAAGATAGTCAAAGACTCAAGTAGTATAGTAAAAACATCACTCACCCTGAACTATCATGTCATACCAACACCATAAAACTCCCAAAATTAGGATTAATGCTGTCCATCTCATATTTTGGGCCCAGTCACAACTCAAGCGTGCATGGAGCGTTCTATGCATTTAAGGTTGGAGGAAATGACGCGGTGTATGGTGTAGATGCTACGTGGCTAATTTAATCGGAGTGATACTCGTATTCTCGATTGAGATTTCAAGTATCTCTCTGGCGTCTCACGATCCATGACGCGCCGTCATGTCGAGGGAGCTACAGCCTCGTCGTCCTGGACCAGGCCACCCGGACTTGCCCTATGCGCCAGGCTGGGGATGCAAGAATGAAGACCTGACAGCGGTGTGCTCCACGTACCTGGCTGTGAAATGTCATGCCAGCTCCAAATTCAGTCAGATTCCGCAACATCAAAGAAGTTGGCCCTCGAGGCGTTGGTTCAAAGTTTCCAAATACCCCAATCCCTCTCTCACAACAGCATTGATTTGGACTAATGTCTCATCACACCTGTTAGTAAATCTTAGTACGTCCTCATTGAAACCACCACATTCTCCTCGACTGAGCTACTGGGCCCCAGATGCAAGCATGCGACAATGTGGATACGTGCATGAAGATATGAGTCGTGGAGCATATAACTGGGAGGTAGATCTTGGAGACGAAGGGGAGAGTTTTCGTGGTAGATATACAAGATGGCATTAGGGATGGGTACAATCTTGGAACGGCTTGATTTCGAATTTTGGAAAGGAGTTTTTCACATTGAGCATTGTGGACGCTCCGTCTCTGGTTTGGAGAGTGCGGACGATGATACAAAAACGGCCTTGGTGGAATAGTAGAGTGGTACATCATCCAGGATGGTCTTTCCAGGAGAGCCCAGTTAGTTTTGATACTCCTCACAGTCAAGACAGGAGATTGCTTGTTCGAGACCGGGAAGACTCCACTGTATTCACTGCAGCTCTCGTGTGCATAGTTGATGAAAGCAGACATGGATTTCGACGGTTTTAAATTTTCTTTTTGGTGGGTCTCACGGAGGCAAAAGGACTATTTATTGATAACCAACATACCTTAAAGTAGTATTTGGCAAACAAACCCGGAATTTAAGTAACTCTAAGATCAAAAGAATCACGTCATATGAGCCAGAGACACTGATGAGGAGCTTGAAGCTTGGTAGCTGAATACCCAAAAGATGAAAAGCTTGGGAGGCATCTGGCTGCTTCATGTCCCGGATGGCATAGACTCCTCACTGTCCATGCCTCTGTTGGAAAAATGGCGCAATGTTCATGGAACAAAAGTAGAAGTTGAGTAAAAGAGTATCGTGTTCGGATTACAGCTAAAAGGGTGAGAAGTGTGCGCTACAAGCACAAGCGTAAAAAGCCGCCATAACTTCGCAGTGGTACTTGCAAATAAAATCCGAGGCATGTATGGTCTTCTTCTATATTGAGTCATCTATTTTGTACTTTTCTATGATATTGTGACATAGCTAGATAGCTGCAAACGCAGTTAAAATTTGATGCAAAAAAAAAGGACTAGTGTTAAGCTACACAGAGGCTAAGCCACAGCATAAAGGAATGTGGCGCCATCTAGGCATAGAAAACTTCCTTGTGCCCACGCCATGCAGCTGCTAATGTATCCACTAGGTAGCCTGAAGCGCTACCATATCCCCATTCCAACCTCTTACTTGCACACAAGATCTTGTAGGGAACCTAGACGAAATGGAGGGCCCTTACGTCCACATTGCTCTATGTCTCCATTTCCAACAGTCTCTCCACGGACAGAGCCAGACACTGAGCTGTTGCTGCACACCTGCTCGTCATCCCAACTTGTCAGCTGCACAGTCGCCAAGGACTTTCGACGCTATGACGCTCTCGCCCGGCCCTGCCAAACCTGCCGCCATCATCATGGCAGTAGCCTTGTAAATCTTCAACATCTGCTAATTCCATCAAAAGCCTACACGTCCATAGAAATACCATCTCCAACCCAGCACTCATGTACCTCAATCAAAATTATCTCAAGGCAGTTCTCTTGTCCACACGTATTGTTTGTTACAAACGACTCGATACTCAAATACTTGCTCATGAAATTGAAGAAATCCGAAACGAAGATAGTCCTACACATCTCTAGGTCAATAACTTCGGATTCACCATACAGGCAAATGCTCATGATTTTTCTCGCACCCCCCATGAGATTCTTATGACCCAACCATCATCAAACAACCAAATCGCTTTCCTCATAGAATGTAGGCTAGAGTGGGAAAAGCTATCAGCCCCACATTCTGCCGTAAGTTGCACTGTGAGCCTTCATCGCAATCAAAAAGCAAAAGAAGTGGGCCAAGGAAAAAATATATAACCCTGCAGCATAAGTTAATTCAATACCTGTCAGCTTTATCTCTAACAAAACTACAGTTCCTATGTAGGATTCTACAAAATCAAAATGAATCTCTTTCCAAAGAAACTCACTCACCACTTCAGCATCTATACTATCATGACACAGGAATTGCGTCCTATGTACATGTGAAGTATATCTATTCACCCAGCGCTTGTTTATCAGAAATCATTCGTATATACCTCGGAGTGGTATAATTGTTAATACGAAACACTAGATCCTCTATCGTGAGCAGTACAAGAGCCTTTTTTTATCCAATTATGCCTTCACGATTTTGCACACAAGCATCATGAGAAATATGGTCGGTTTAACTGAATTCCCCCTTCAATTCTAGCTAGACCTACTCATTCACTAGCTTTTAGCTCTCTTTATCCCATTAAATGAAAGCACTTGATTAGCTGCT